ATAGTTGAGTCTCATTCTGATAATAAATCTTTCCAGGCAGGTTTCTATAAACACAGGCAAACAGAAACTTTAGAAACACATTTATTAGATACTTAATAAATAAAATTTTTATAATAATAAACAACAAGGTTACCATAATAACTTATGCTTATTTTATTCTGTTGGTGAAAAAAGTAGAACTTCTACAACTCTATTGAGAAGAATATTTCTATTGCCTAAAGAGAAACTTAATTTTATACAACTTGAGTTGAAGATTCACCATTCATTATCTTTCAGTTGAATTTCAACTAAAATCTCCTCTAGCTCTCAGTTCTCTCAAGAGGTAGTCTGGAAAATTATGGATTTGTTAATTTTTCTCTTTCCTACTATGTTCTAGAATTTCAGAGATGTTTCATGGAAGAAACTTGAGAGACATACTTAATATGCAGTCTTCATGGGGAGGTTTAATATCTTGCCTTTATAAACAAAAATCTCATGTTAGATTTCCAAAAATCTTATGAGAAAATTTTAAAAATCCAATTTTATATCAATGATAGGAAACAAATTTCAAAAAGTATTACTCAGCCAGGCCTGGTGGTGCATGACTGTAATCCCAAACAGCTTGGGAGCTTGAGGCAAGAGGATCATTGGTTCAAAGCTAGCCTCAACAAAAGTAAGCAAACAACTCAGTGAGATCCTGTCTCTACATAAAATGCAAAACAGGGCTGGGGATGTGGCTCAGTGGACGAGTGCCCCTGACTTCAAACTCTGTTACCTACCTCCACTAAAAGTGTAACTCAAAGACAAAATAAAACATAGGTGGTTTAAAAGAACATTAAAATATGCAAATATAAAAAGGGCATTTTACCAATATGAATATTAATATAAAATTAATAAAACAACATAAATGAAGTTCTTCTTTATTGAAGATATGTAATATTTACAAAAATATATAATAAGCATTTTTTATATATTTTATATATTTTTTAATTTTTTTTTAGTTGTAGATAGATACAATCTTTATTTTATTATATTATTTTTTAAAAAAATATTTACTTTTTAGTTGCACACAACACCTTTATTTTATTTATTTATTTTTATGTGGTGCTGAGGATCAAACCCAGTGCCTCACATGTTTGAGGCAAGCGCTTAATCATTGAGCAACAACCCCAGACCTGTTTTATATTAAGATAAAAAAAAGCCTCTAATAAATAAAATTTCACAAAAATTAGGAAGGTGGGAAGCATTATCATATAAAGTTAATATTTTATTTTAATTATTTATGATTTAGAAAAAGAAAGTGAAAATTATAGGAAATACCAATTACATTATAGTAATATATCATACTTCTTTTCTGAAAATGAATGTTTTCCATCATTCAGTGGAAAATTGTTATATGTAGGCTATGAAATATACCTTAATATAATTTGTTTAAGAGAAATTGTACAGAACTATTCCTTGTCCATACAATGAAACAAACCACAAGATTTAGAAATTAAGGGGAAAAAACACAATGAAAATTAATAATTATACCACAAAAAACAAAAACATAGTCTGGATGACATAAAGTGTCTTGAATCAAAATGGAATATCAAAATATTTCAATTGTAAGTAATAAAAAATTGACTTTTAAAAGTATGCATTATTTGCACAACTGTTCTTGCAATACAAGGGAGAATGAATAAGCACTGATTTATTAATCCAAATCTGATTCTGCAATAATTAAAAATATACAGTCAGATATAAGTTCATGATAATAAATAGAAATATGAAAATAAAAAAGAAAATTTGAGAAAATAGTGCTCATGTTATTGTATGTTCTGAAAATATTTTGAAAGATGAAAATATCCTCACTTCATTCCTCACTTCATAATTCTATAATACTTATGTAGTAATCTGTGCTTTAAGCGAAATAAAATTACAGAGGTAGATCAAAAAAATCAGAAAAGCAATTGAACAAATTTGTAAAAATATACAATAGTAGCAAAAATATGATAATCTGAATGCTTACATATTTGTGCATTTCAAGTATTTAGGAAATACAAGTTAATTTTAATAAATAATAGCAGATCATATAAATGCAGAGAAATTTCTAAATCCGTTTATGTCACACAATAGCAATTTACAAAGAATAAAACTTTTGGGCATATCATATTCTAGATATAAAGACAAAATAAAATGCAAGAGAAAAATAGAAAATAGTGATTAAAAATCTTGATAAATACCCAAAAGATGTTTGATGAACATCTACTATCCTTTTCTGATTATCACAAAGCACACTAATAAAAGAATACTGAAGCTAATAAAGAACCATCCCTTCAAATATTCTTTCTAAAACTCACTCTGAAATGACTATTAGTGTAATTAAAGAAAAGGATAAATCAAGAATCTCTTCTAGCTTGAGCATATTCATTGGAATTACTATGTTGCAGAGAAAAAGGTAGTGTGACTTGTAGCTCAAAGATTGGAAATTGTGATTGTGTACTCTGATGAAAGCATAATAAGAAAATGGGGATCTTAGCAAAATAAAGGAGAAGGGAGCTTAAAGTATACATTCCTTAATCTTTCTAGTGTTTATAAACATAATTTTCATCTCATAAGTGCAATTCCTGTTACCAATTACCTCATGGGCATATTTTATATAAAACTTATTAAAATATAAACATCCACTGGGTAATGTTTTTTGTCAATAATGAGCCACTTATATGATGGTTCCATAAGATTATATCATCATGATATCATAGCCACATAGTTTGTGTAAGTGTATTTATGTTGTGCACCAAAAGACAAAATCACCCACTGACACATTTCTCTGATCATATTCCTGTCCTTAAAGAATGGAATATTATATACACATTTCAGCATATAACTATTCCCAGTTCTGTAGTATATGACTACTGTGAAATTAACTATTAAGGAACAACATGCCAGAACTAGCTGAAGGGGCAATAACTATGATCAAGCAGTCTCATTTTGAGAAGGGAAGAAAGAAGACATCTGAAAGCCCTCTTATCTACTGCCTGTACCATATCCTGCAGATCATAGTATCCAAACTGACTTCTTTGTTAATCAGCATCCTGACCTGGCAGTGTGTTGTCACCTGGTTCTTCAGAATAAGGGTTCACCTTTGTCTATTGATTTCCTTTGACATATCTAATAAGACACTTGATATGTCTTGTTGGTGTGTACAGAAAATTCTGTAAAATGTTTTATGATTGGAGAATCTTAGTTTCTCAGTTTCACAGACATACAAGTGGGAAATTTAAATTTCTATTTTCCTCCCAGTTGATCTTCTGGGAAATTTTAAAATCTCTCTCTCTATATATATATATATTATGATAGTAAGATTTTTTTTCAACATTTATTTTTGTTTGTACAAGGTCTGGGGCTAGATAAATCACACCCTCCCCCTTGTTCAAGTCCCCAAAATTTGTTTTTCTACTGCTCTCTATCTTGAGAGAATGTAAAACAATAAACTAGATAAGACAAAGCTAATAGGCTTTGGACCTCAAGGATCTACCTCAAAGAAAGGTTTTCACTGCTCTCTGTTAGAAGGTGATTAATGAGAGTGTTAGAGAAGGAGGGGATCTTGAGTTACCAAGCTTCCCGAAGGTTCAAGGATCGTCCTGGGACCCCATGCTTGGGCTTTGGAGTCATTTATTACTTCTCTGATTCATTGCCACGAATCAGGGAGTAAGGATTGTAAGAAGAAAGGAATTTGGATTTTTCTGCCATGATGGATGCTTATTTCCAACTAGCATACTTATTGATGCAAGTTTTTTAACTGGATTTGTCTGTTTTCTCCTTAAAGTGAGGCCAACCAAAGTCTGCTGCTTTCTCTTCGGACTCTACTAATTGCTTAAAATGATTGAAGAAAATAACAACAAACTCTAAAATTCTGGCTGTGCTTCTTCCCTAGATTCCCTAGAGCTTATTAATTGATAAGCACCTGTTCTGATTCCCAGAGGAGACAGCAGTGAAGTTCTCCCACAGGCTTTCCTTCTGTGTGAAATCGTTAGCATTTCAGCCAGGAACAGAGAAATCTGTACAATCCATAATATTGCTTCATGTCTTCTGAATCCATATTTTAGGTTCTGTCCCATGAAACACACCTGCTTCTGAGTATCAGTTTTTGTTGTTGTTGTTTGTTTGTTTGTTTGTTTGTCTTTTAAGTACTGAGAGCAAGTGAAATAAAAACCAATGCAATCACTTTAAACAAAAAAGGAAATACATCAATTAACATAAATTCCAGGGTCATGGTAAAGGTAGGCTTAGACCCAACAAGAAGCTGAGAACTTTTTTTTTCCTTTTTCTCTACCATTTTACTCTTTCCACTCTTTTCTTCTCTTTCCTCTTTCTTCCATTAAAACTATCGACTGTCTTTTAGCTCCTTGTGTCTTTCTGTGTTAAGCTTTCTGTCTCTGGGGGCATTAGGGTAACCACCATGAGGGACAGGGCTTTCAAGATACTTAGATACAGAAACATATATCTGTTAGCGATGGCAAAGGAAATAAAATGAGCTTTACTACAAATATCCATATATAAAGTCCCAGAGAAAGATTCAGGCTCCCTCCTTGAGGTAGTCACTCACTCTTGCCTGCATGATGGGTCATGAGCCCATCCCTGTCCTCAAGATATAGGGGTTAGGGGTGTGCAATCCTAATATACTGCCAAGGAGGAAATGATCTGTTTAGAAGAAGAAAGGGAATAAACGTAGAACACATCATACAAAGACAGTTACTTCTGGGTGCTGTGATGCCCGCCTGTAATCCCAGCTACTTGGGAGACTGAGGCAGCAGGATTGAGAATTCAAAGCCAGACTCAACAAAAGCGAGGTGCTAAGCAAACTCAGTGAGACCCTGTCTCTGCATAAAATACAAAATAGGCCTGGGGATGTGGCTCAGTGGTTGAGTGACCCTGGGTTTAATCCTCGGTACCCCTGTCCCCCACGAAAAAGGATGATAGTTACTCACCACATAAGGAAATAGAGGAAAATCATCTAACCACAAGGGAAACATGCAAAATTTTTGTGAGATTTTACTGTTCTTTCCAGAAACAAACTTGACACACCATTTTACTATTAATTACAAGAAAGAACATAAAATATTCATAAACATATCCAAATGTAACTACATTGAATTAAATGTACAACGAACTGTTGACAAAGATGTGATGAATATTATCCACTTTTCTAAAAAGTTAAAGAGATAGGAAACCAGATAAATCAAGAAGCATGTGGTTGGGTAAATGACAACGTATTAAATTAGTTTTCTTGTCTCTGTTCCTTTAAAGCCATTTTCCTCTGACTTCTTGCCCTCTCTTCTTGGAAGCTAACGACTACATCCACACAGCTCCCATATCCATTGGCTTTCAGTTGGATGTAATCTATGAGAAGCTCTGGCAAAAAAAAAAAAAAAAAAAAAAAAGTGAAGTGGGTAAGTAGAATGAGATCATATGATTTACTGGCATCTCCCCACATATTCACCTCAAGTTGGCTCTGAACACTAGTTGCCTATAGCTGTGTCTTTCAAAGTGATGACTCAACATGCCACTCTGTCACCCCTGGCACACTTCTTTCCAGAGATCCGAGGATGGGAAAGCTTACTACTACCATCTTCAAGGCCATGGCTCTTGGGTTTCTCAGCACCCAGTTTTCTACAAATAAGCCTTTCTGTGTGAACTTTTCCAATCATCCTATTTTGCCATCTGTTTCCTGTGGCAACCCTGACTGATTCAAAGGCAATTCTCTGTAATAAAACGTAATGTACAAATTTTATCAAGTGATTATCTTTGGCCATTTGTTAAAAATAAATATGAAAATATGGTTTTTAAAAATAAAATCCTATAAGCAACTCATACTATTATCTGTTAAACATATAAAATACAATGATAAAACAATATGGTAAGTAGTTTAAAATTAAAAAGGGAAATAGCACAGAAGAGAATTGTACACATGTGTGGTTGTATAAATGTATACATAGGAAGCAGGGGGGGAATGAGGACACAGCAGCATTGTGACAACTACTTAGAGTTCCTTCATAATCATCATTACAGGAAAAATTAATTAATTATATGCATGTATGAATATATCAGAATGAAACTACTCTTCTCTATAATAAATATTCACCTTTAATTTGGATCCTGCTCAGCTATTTGTAAAATTGTAGCTATATCTTAAATCATAAGAAATCTAAATATCTGTAACTGAGCATTCGAAGCTCATAGGGAAATAAAAAGGAATTTTTTAGAAAAGGACTTGGGGAAGGATAAAAATACAGGAAATTTTATATTGGAAATAATATAAACATCTAACAATGGTAATTGTTTAAATACTTTTTGTATACTCAACTGAGATAATTAGATTTAGAAAATACTACATCTAGCAATACTTTAAGTATGCCCTCAATTTTATTACTTTCTTTTATGTTTCCATTTAAATACAAATATAAGTATTATATGAAAATGATACATTGTTAGATGGCTATAATAGATAGTTTATAGCAGTTATATTCATTCTTTTCCATATTTTAAATTTTTTCTATAGTATTATCAGACATGTATTCATATAAGTAGATGCTTATAGAATTATAAAGGTATTTTAATAAATGTAGAAATACAGAATTTAAAATATGAAACAGACGATATATTTCTGTTCAATAAGAACTACCTAGAACTAACTAGACCTCTAGAGGCCAGAATTCCAGGATAATCTTCTGATAGCAACTCTTAATTACTAGAAAATAAAAATCATAGTCACTTAATTCACTGTTATTGATGAATGAGTAATTAAATATGAACTTTCTTTGTGAATAGAAGAATCTGAAAGGAAAGAGGTTTCTCTGTTATAAACTACCTTGTTACATATGTATATTAAGCTAGTAATTCTAAGAGTAGTATAAGACTTTTGGGGGATTGGGTGTGAGGTAGTACTAGGGCTTGAACTCAGAGGGACTCAACCACTGAGCCACATCTCCAGCCCTAATTTGTATTTTATTTAGAGACAGGGTTTCACTGAATTGCTTAGAGCCTCACTTTTGCTGAGATTGGCTTTGAACTCACGATCCTCTTGCCCCAGTCACCCGAGCCACTGAGATTACAAGCATACATGTCCCTCATACAAGATATTTTTAAGAAACTGCTCATATTAAAGTAAAATATGTATTTAAAACTTTGACTCAGGCCTCTTCTTTCTCTCCATTTTGAACCTTCTTTAAGGACAATAATAGAATTTCTTTTTTTGTTCACATGTGTTTTACTCAATATATATTTTTAATTTTTCAGTATGCTATGTATGAGAATACATGGCTAATTATCATGGCTCTGCTAAGGAAGGAGGATTGAGAGTTCAAATTGTGAATCCACCAATATTTATTTTCCCCTGTTTTGTGAATGGACATTGGGTTATATCCAGTAAATGACCTTAAAAAAATTGTGCTGGTATGAACCTTCTTCACCATGCTTCTGATACACATACACATACACACACACACACACACACACACACACACACACACAAACACACACACATTTCTGTTGAGTATGTATCTAGGTAGAATTGTTGAGCCATAATACATGTGTATTTTCAGTGCTAGTAATTTCAAATAGTTTTCTAAAACACTTCTACAAAAGTATTTTCTTTCCTCACATTGTCACTACCATATGATATTGTTTCTAGTTTTGTCTTTTAATTGACTGTAATATTGCCTTTTTAAAATTTGCATGTGTCTGCTGATGTAATTAATAAGCAATTTTCAAATTGTCTGTCTACAATTTGGATATGTCTTTCACAAAATTATTTCTCAAGTTGCTGGTTCATTTAACCACAGTATGTTTTCTTATCAGTTCTGAGAAGGTGATGTGAGTTCTCTGTAAGATGCACACATTTTTCCTTACTGGGTAGTTTGTTTGTTTGCTTTTGTTATATTGCAAGGCATATGAGTTCTTCATTTTAATAAAATTCAATTGATCTTTTTTTTTTCAAATAGTGCCTTTGGGTTCTCCATTAATAAATATTTCCCTGCCAGAAAACAATCAAATATTCTTCCAGAGGTTTTATTGTTTAACTTTCACATAGAAAAATAATCTTTAATATAATGCTTAGAGCTATAATCTATTTGATATTAACTTTTGTTTATGAACAAGATCATAGAGTAGGGAGGGGTCAGATCTGTTTTTTTCAAATGGATATTTAATTTACTTAAAGAAACTTATTTTTATTTTTATTTAACTTTTCTATTAGAATTACATATGTAAAATTTACCATCTACACCATTTTTAAATGTACAGTTAAATGCAACCATCACTACCAACTAGTTCCATAGCCCTTTTAGTCTTATGAAATGGAAAACCTGATCTCTCATCCACACAGTCCCTGGCAACCAATTCAAGTCACTTATTTTTAAAGTGCTTATTTATATACATATGCAGATATATAAACCTATACTGCTCTCTCTCTTTATATCTACATCTATCAAAAAAATGTGTGTATATATCTATATGTTCATTTTTATGTTTTTGTGTATGTGTATGTATACAGACAAATCTCTATATTCATACACATTTATATATATCAGAATACACACATGCACACACACACACATCTATAGCTAACTATTTATTGATTAAATGAGGTTAATTTTCTCCTTATCATCATATAATGCACATTCTTAAGGTGTAACTTTGCTAATTATTTTATTAAATAAACCTACTTATATTACATTTAAAGATTATTAATGTTTTAAATATTTAATTTTTTTGACCCATAAAAAATGATGAGGCATCTGAGTTGAACATGCTGAGGAATTGATCTTCCACATTAGAAGTTCTGTAGTAAGACCATTCAGGAGAAAGACCAGTGATTACCTGCTTCACCAGACTATGATTACCCTGGTTCCAATCACACTGCTTTTAAATGAAATACTGAAATACCAATTCCATAGTAAAAATGAGGAACTTAGGATTTAATTATAGCAGTAATTTCAGTGAGGTGAACACAAGCATGTACAGTACCCACTGTAGATTTCAAAGGTGTTAATGAATGATAAAAACGATTGCTGTCTTTATAATGTTTGATTTTGAAGAACAGTAGACACAGAGAATTCAAGGCAAGCATTAATTATTCTGGCAATAGAACAAAAGTTAATATTAGGATTTGGGACTTAATTGTTAAACTTAAATAACCTGTAATGTCTTTTCAAGCTAAGAAAGTGTAAGTAATGTTCCACGAAAAATATATGCCTGAAAACTGACCAATTAGGTGAGCTATGGTAATATTATTGTAACATTACCATTATATAGAAAATGACAGGTAAAGGAAAATAAGCATACTTAACACAATGTATCAGAAATATGAAATAAAAACATACAGAAGACAAATGATGATTATTCTTAAGCAAACCCAGTTTTGTTTTATCATTATATTTTTCTAGCCTTAAATTTCTCCAAAATATATTTTTGGCATTGTTTTTATTCCTCAAGTATGAGGAACACGTTAAAAGGATTTTGACATTTTAATTATTTGACTTTTAGATCACACCTATGTGTTTCTTATGTTTGTATACAAATAATAATTTTCAAAATGATATAAATAATAAGGTCAAAATAAAAATCAGTGTTTTGTACATCAATACTTAATTGCTTTTGACTATGGTTAAATCTTGTTTCAGTCTTACTCTTATATTTGATCAGGTTTCCATTTCAAATCCATTTCAGATTCCATATTGGATTTAAATCCCTCTTGCAGGAGATTTTTCTTGCCAATTTTTACATATAAACATTTTCACTCTTCATAATGCTTTGGCTTTTAATTTTAATACAGTGTATATTCAGAATATGGACTTCAGAAATGTATTTCCTTCAGAGTTACTCAAATACATCAAAATCTATGACATTTTCTCTCTAATTCCCCATCTTAATCCATGTATTCATTTAAAAGACACTTTTTTGAGTGTACTTTATGTCTCAGAAAATGATCTCTGTCTGGAGGCTTCAGGAAAGAATAAAAAATAGATTAAAAAAACACGAAACACAGGACGCCCAGTTCTCTCCTAGAACTCAGGTGCCTGTGGAGAGCTAATAATATTAATAAAAGATGCCAAGGATGATGAAGATAATTTTGGACATTGAGAAATTCCAGAAAGATAACCAAATAGGTTAATGAGATAAAGTTACAAAGAATAAAAAGGAAGTTTCCTTGAGGTGATATTGGACCTGAAAACTGAATGACAGAAAAGTCATCCACATGAATATTTGCAGATTCCCTGGGTGAAATGAGTGCAGCAGCCTTGAGTCAGAAGCAGGCTTGCTGTGATTGAAAAAGCAAGAGGCTCCCAAGGCTGGGGCCAAAGGAGGGGGCAGGAACGAGGCAGAGAGAAAGTTGGAGGGATTGTGAGAAACAA